AAATTTACAGATTTTAAGTATATATGTATATATATGTGTGTGTATATATATATATACACACACACCCCACACACACATATATACAGTATATATATGTACTGCACTAGTATAGTCTTTAAAAATTATAAAAAGTACTATTCACTTTTAAAAACACCATCTTTATCATAGCATAAGTATTTGAACATTTCTTCATAATCATTATCTTGAATAAGAGTGTAACTTTTTTTTCCAGAGGGTCTTTTACAATTTCTTCTTTTTCTTACTCTTATTCATGTTGATCATTTATATAACTTCATGCTTTTACATAGCTTGTTTTCAAAAACATAGTCTTGCATGTAGTTTTCTCTTTCTTTCTTTCTCTTTCTTCTTTCTTTCTTTTCTTTCTTTCTTTTTGTTTCTCTCCTTCCTTCCTTCCTTCCCTCCCTCCCCCCCACCCCTTCCTTCCTTCCTTCCCTCCCTCCCTCCCTACCCCTTCCTTCCTTCCTCTCTCCCCCTTCCTTCCTTCCTTCCTTCCCTCCCTCCCTCCCTCCCCCTTCCTTCCTTCCTCCCTCCCCCTTCCTTCCTTCCTTCCTTCTTTCCTTTTTTCCTTCCTTCCTTCCTTCCTTCCTTCCTTCCTTCCTTCCTTCCTTCCTTCCTTCCTTCCTTCCTTCCTTCCTTCCTCTCTCTCTCTCTCTCTCTCTCTTCCTTCTTTCCTTTTTTTTTTTTTTTTTTTGACAGGGTCAATCTCTGTTACCCAGGCTGGAGTGCAGCAGCAGGATCATAGCACACTGTATTCTTGACCTTGCCAGACTCAGTCGATCCTCCCATCTCAGCTTCACAAATAGCTGGAACTACAGTCATATGTCACCACTTCTGGCTAATTATTATTATTATTTTTTGTAGAGACGAGGTCTCACCATGTTGCCCCAGGCTCGTCTTGAACTCCTAGGCTCAAGCAATCCTCCCGCCTCGGCCTTCCAAAGTGTTTAGGTTACAGGTGTGAGCCACCATGCCTAGCTGCATACATATAGTTTTCTATCCCAGTATTTTAAAAAGTGTTTCCTTAGAAGATATTTCAAAAAGTTATGCATATTATCCATGACGTGTGAATTCTAAGCTCCAATGCTGTAGCATCAGCATCGTCTCTTATCTGAGGAAACAAGTGTATTAGGTAGAGAGAGGCTTTCAAACCATGTCCCAGCACCTTGAGACAATCAATATTGTGATAAGGATACTGTTAAATCAGTAAACATTTCTCTTATGGACCATTGAGAAAATATTTTCAAGACTGAGCATTTACTGATAAATCAAATTGCAATTGAAAAGAATATGCAACAAGAAAAACTTTAGTTAAAATAACATTTTTTGGAAAGAAATAGATGTTTGGGAGCACAAAAATCATGTATGTGTTATATTCAGTTTGTTGTTTCTGCCCCAAATTTAAGTCTAACATCTTTTGAGCTTCATTTTTCATACTGTCATATTGACTTATAAGCATTCTTGCTCTACATTATTTTTGTGATAGATTTTCTAGACATCATGTAGTTCTTTTCGTCATACTTCTTGACAACCAGAGAGTTCCAAGGAAAAGATGTGTATTGTATCACAAGAGAGTTTCATTCACATGAGTATTGATATGCTATCAAGTCAAATGCCAGGATTTTCACTCAATCCACAGATTTCCCATGCTATCAAAAAAGCTATGATGAAAGACTCAAAACATTCACCAACATCTAAATAAACTGTATCTGAGCAATTAATGTCTTTTGTCTAGATCTTTCATCATTTCCTGTCAGCAATGAAGTCTTATTAAGCGCAAGTTTAATCACAGTACTATTCAGCTAAAAGCAAAAACAAAACAAAACCAACCTGGAAATGCAGAAATTGCGAAGAAGCAAAAATGCATAACTTCAGTTGCCCTGTACCAGGATATGGTTTCCTCAACACTGCACCTGGAAGCCAACCCCAGGTCAGCATTCAACAACACAACAGAAAATGTGGCTTTTCCTTCTGCCTGCTAAATGTCGTTTGAATATCACTCATTGGAAGGATCCAACCAATGATGGTGACAAGAAAATCTGGAAAGTAGGGTTCAAAGGAGAACTTAGAAGAGTAGGGTTCATATAGAGTCTCAACAATGACACCATTCTGACCCAGTGCTTTATAAGCTGTTGTGTATTGATTTACCTTTTTCAGCCTCATTTTCTTCCACCTTATGATGTGCATCCTGCTCCATAAACACCCACAACTATCCCCAAATTTCCCAGGTATGCCTTTTCCAAACACTCTCTTCAGAGCCACACCCATGATTCTATGGAAAAACTAGACTTATAAGGACCTCATATCTGCTTATCCTACACCACCCTCATCCATGTTTTGACTCCACTACTCTGACTTCTGTATCTCAGCGGCATCACCAACCACACAGTGTGTGAAGTCACAAACTTGGGCTTTACTGTTGACTCTTACTTTGCCTCCCTCTCCATCTAATCCATCTTGAAGTCCTGAATGTTCTGACTCTTCCTTCTGGCTTCTCCACCTTATTTTAGGCTAAGATCATGTATGTCCTGGATCATGTATGTCCTGGATCATTCCAGAGCCTAAATTCCACACCCTGAACATTAAAAGCATGTATCAAATGCTCAAATCATATATATATATATACACACACACACACACATATACATACACACACACGGGCTTAGAGATACTAGATAAGTTAATTCTGATACCCTACTTCACTTGACACGTGCCAGTCAGATTTAAATCCAGTTTCTCATTTTCCAGCATTACCTTCCTTAATAGAAAAATTGTTCTTTGTTTATCCATTGATTCCAACTGCAGAAATGGAACTCTTTATTTTCAGCGTAGCAGAGTGTCCAAGGAAACAGGGAATATGCATCTTAGAGACGTCACATGGATGAACAAAATTTAACTAGGCCAGCAAGCATGAATATTCTCTAGTTTGGTCCTTACGTCTTGTCCAGAGTCTGGTTCAGACCAGACAAAGTAGTGACATTAGTAAGATTTGTATCAGGGGCCATTGCCAGTCTAATACCAACTGCAACCTAATAACCCTCCAACATGTGTTGGTTGGAATGTGATTATTTTATCACTTTGATTTTTGTAGTGATATTAATTGGCTAATACGTTATCAATTCCTGCTAAAATATTTTAATGTTTTTAAGTAATTCTGAAAGACTGGAAATTGTATAGGAAGACAAAAATCCTCTCTATCTCCTGAAGTGTTTATCGAAGATATGATATCATGACCAGGGTTTGGGAAGGACAGATTGACAGAATATTGGTAATTCTTGAAGGTAAGCATTCAGCCACATTATGCTGTCCTGTACATTTTTGTATATTTTGGAACATTTTCATAATAGATAAATTTTTACCAAATTCTACCAAAGCCAAACATATATATTTTTGCTGGTGGAATTTCAGAGCCATGGTGCAGGGTACAGAGACTTTTACAATGACAATATTTTACTCCCTAAAGAGGTGATTGTAAGTGAGCACTACAATTTTATGAATAGATTCATCTCATCATGCAATTTTTGTTATCCTTTTAATATGCATAATGTTATTTTTATCTTTGGATGTCAGCCTTATTACATCAATTTAAAAGTTTTGTGCTTTGAATTTTTAGAATGAACATTTTAGTTCATGTATTGTTTTTAATAAAGAGCTGCTTCTAAGTTTTTCTATAGCTGAACGTAACTAAACCCTCTCATAAAAATGAAGTGCACAAATTCCTTGGTAATGCAAATAACGATTCAGCACATGATAATTTGTAGGGTCTTGTCTTTCTAAATTCCAGGTGTTTCTGAGGTGAGCTTTATGTAAATCAGGTCAAACTCTTTATAATTAAAGGCATGTTTGCATAGGTAAATAAAGTGGTCCTGGATTGAAAAACAAGTATATAGTAATCCCCCATTTTAAGTTTATATAAAGCATCTGGGTACTAGATGACCTTTTATACTAGATGACCTTTTATATTATATTAACATCAAGGAATTCCATTCTGTCTATTTTTCTCTCCTGCACTGTGCTAGAAGAGGACCCCCTCGTCATCAGCGGCTTCCTGCAGAGAGTTGAACAAAAGTCTCTTCCTAGTATCCTTCAAGAAATGAGCTTAAGTATCTTAAAGAAAAAGTGGGCTACTTTTTAATAAACAGTGACAGGGTGGTGGAAGAGTATGATTTATTTTGTCCATAAAATGTATTATTTTATGAACACTTTAATTATTTTTAAACAATTCACTTTAATCATGAAATGTAAATTCAAAGGAAATTTTTCTTTTAAATATTTATTTACATCTGATAATTTGACAGTGTTTTCCTTCAGTTTCAAATATTTACCCTTAACATTAGTAAACTGAGAATGATCAGCATTTTCTTTAGAAAGGAACGATTCACACAACCAATTTAGACTAATTTTACTTATGTAAAGTATATATTTTACCAAACCAATTACATATTCATTAGGAATAATTCAGAAGTTTCCAAATTTTTATAAATAATTTGTCAATGGCAAATGTAAATTTGAAATGGATGAAAATTTAGATGTGTATCCTCTTCAATTAAAAAATAAAACCAGTTCTGACAATGCTTCCCAGGCTACTTTATTTGTTCCAAAGCGGCTTTCAATTTTTAAAAATATTTTTTGCATACATAATACACACATAGTATCAATGACTAAAACAACTTGAGCAACGTTATTTTTACTTGACTTCTTTTGTGGAAAAATAAAATGAATCATGATATGGAGGATATACAATAGCGTGAGTGACACTTTTTCTCATACTTCTTTTCTTCCTTACAGGAATATACCCAAAGTTTGGAGGTGAGCCTGCCATCAGCATTTTATTTTATCCCTTTACAGGTATGAGGACAGAGAGGCACTTGAGTGTCTATAATAGTACCATAAAAGGTTTCTGCTTAAGGTATGCAATTGAAGACATGTAATCATAAGTTCTGATTTTACCAATCTACCTAATTGTCACTCCTTTTCATTTTAGCTCCTGCCGCCCTACCTGGTGGAATCAATTGTCCCATCCAGGAGCCTTGGCAATGGTCTCTGTGCAGAGGTTAGAACTATTTCAATAAATGCGTGTATGAACTAATTTTTAAAAAAATGAATCAATGTTTAGACAAAGCAGATTTCACAGCAAACAAAATTACCAGAGGTAAAAAGGAACACTATTTAACAATAAAGGGTTCAACTCTCCAAAAATACACAACAGTTCTTAATGTACATTTTTCTAAACAAGAAAACTTCAAAATATGTGAGGCAAAAACTGATAGCACTGCAAAGATAAATAGATCAATTTACTATCGTAGTAGAAGACTGCAACTCCCTCAGTCAGAAACAGATTTAGCAGCCAGAAAATCAGTAAGGGCATAGCTTAACCCAACAGCACCAAATATTAACCGGATATAATTGACATCCATAGACTACACTCAACAACAGCAAAATACACATTCTTCTTAAGATCCCATTCAACACTTACCAAGGTAGTCCAGTTTCTGGGCTATAACACAGGCCTTAAAAAGTCGAAAGAATGTAAATCATACAAAGTATGCTCTCAAACTACAGTGAAATTGAACTAGACATGAATAACAGAAAGATATATAGAAAATTCCAAAATACCTGGAGATTTAAAAACATACTTCTAAGTAACACATGGGTCAAAGAAAGATTCCCAAGAGAAAGCTAAAATATTCTGAATTAAATGAAAATACAGTATATAGCAGAAGTAGTGCTTAGAGAGAAATTACAGTGTAGAATGCCGATGTTAGGAAAAAATATATAAGGATCTAAAAACCAATAATTTAAACTTTTAGCTTAGAAAAATAGAAATAGGAGAGGCAATTAAATACAAAGCAAGAGAGGAAAAATAAACAGTAAAATTTCAGGCCAAAAGTAATAAAATTTTATAAAGAAAATTAACCAAGAAAATCAGCAAAACTAGAAGCTCGTTCTTTGGTAAGATAACAAAATTCACTCCTTATAGCTTCTTTACCTCTAGTGAGGCTAGCCAAAAAAAAAAGAGAGAGAGAAGGCAAAAATAGCTAATATCTGAAATGTAAAAGGGACCATCAAGACTGATCCCAAAAACATTAAAATGATACTAAACAATTTTATGAAAACTATGTCAAAAATTTGATAACTTAGCTGAAACGGACAAATTACTAGAAACACAAGCTACAGAAATTCACACAAAGAGAAATAGACAATCTGAGTGGTAAAATATTGAATACTAAAATTATATCAATAATTAATAACCTTCCAAAACAGGAAGTACCAGCCATATAGTGAATTTTACCAAACATTTTTTATGGAAGAAATTTTGCTAATTCTCTACAATCTCTTCCAGAAAACAGAAACAGAGAAGAGTTTTTATTTTTAATTTTTTTTTTAATGAACTTCTATCTGTACCAGAGAGAGTATAGTTCTTAACTTGTTCTGAGAACTGCATTATCTAATACGAAAACCAGAGAAAAAATTAAAAAAAAATAAAACTATAAATCTACATTTTAAATAAATATAGATGCACAAACCATCATAAATAAGTTCAAAAACTGAATTGAATAATGTATAAAAAGAATTATACAACACGCTGAAGTGGGATTTATTCCAGGTTGCCAGACTATTTCCACATTTGAAAATCAATTAGTATAATCCATCATTTCACAGACTACAGAAGCAAAATTATATTATCACATCAATTGATGAAACAACAGATTCGACAAAATCCAACACTTATTCGTGATTAAAATGCTCAAAACAAACTAAAAATAGAGAGAAACTTTTTCAATAAAACGAACATCTCCAAAAAACTTAAATTACATATCATGCTTAATGGTGAGAAAGTTGATACCTTCTGCCTAAGATTGAGACCAAGACAGGAATTTCCCCTCTGAACACTCTAATTAAACATCAGACTGGTGGTCTTGGCTAATGTAATAAGACAATAGAATGAAATAAAAGTTATACAGAGAAAGAAAGAAGAAATTAAACTATCCTTATGCAGAGATGATATGATGTGATATGATTGTCTATAAGAAAATAATCCTAAATCCATCAAAACAATACTGGAACATGAAAGTAATTATAACAAGATTGTTGCAGGATACAGGATAATATATAAATGTTAATTGCTTTCCCATATACCAGCACTGAAAAATTGGAAATTTTAATTCCATAACAATAACATTTATATCAGCAGACAAAAATTAAATATGTAGGAATTAATCTAACACATATGTACAAGATTTATATGAGAAAATGACACAATTCTAGTAAGAGAAATCCAAGATCTAAATAAATGCAGAGATATTCCACAATATGGATAGAAAGTCTCAATATTATTAAGATGTTGATTTTCCCCAACTTGATGTATTGATTCATCACAATCTCTATCGAAATCACAGGAAATTATTTTTTTTAACGTAGAAAAGTTGATTCTAAAGTTCATATGGAAAGGCAAAGGACCCAGCATAACCCACACAGCACTGAACAACGACTCTGGAGGACGGAAACTACCTGACCCAGAACTTGCTACAAAGCTGCAGTGATTCAGAAAGTGTGATATTCACAAAATAATAGGCAAATAGATCAATGGAACATAATAGAGATCCCCAAAATAGACTCAAACAAATATACTCAACTAGTCTTTCATAAAAGACCGAAGGCAATTTAGAGGAGAAAGGAGTTTGTTCTATAGATGTGGCTGGAACAACAATAAAATGAATGCAGACATAGACTTTAAACTTTTCACATAAAATAACTGAAAAGAGCTACAGGACTAATGTGAAACAGACAAAAATAATCACACAACTTTGATAAGATAGCAGAGGTGAAAATATAGGCGACCTCGGATCTGGTGATGACTTTTTAGATACAAAGGCATGATCCATTACAGAAGACAATTGACACAAGCTGGACTGTGGTGCGTGCGCGGGGGGTAAAATTATATGGAAATTCATTTTACTTTCTGTATAATTATTCTATAAACCTAAAACTGCTCTAGCAGATAAAGTCTATTTAAGAAGAAACAATACTCATTAACTACTTTCTTTTTCTTTTCTTTTCTTTTTTTTTTTTGAGATAGAGTCTCTCTCTGTCTCCAGGCTGGAGAGCAGTGGTGCAATCTCCGCTCACTGCAACCTCCACTTCCCTGGTTCAAGCGATCTCCTGCCTCAGCCTCCTGCATAGCTGGGCTACAGGCATGTGCCACCATGCTCAGCTAATTTTTTATTTTTTAGTTGAGACGGGGTTTCACTATGGTCTCTATCTCCCTACCTTGTGATCTGCGCGCCTCCGCCTCCCAAAGTGCTGGGATTACAAGCATGAGACACCGCACCCTGCCTCATTAACTACATTTTTTTAAATGGGTGTCTTTTATTTTTCTTAACATTATATGCCAAAAAAGTTGATTAAAAATTGGAAAAACGTGGATAAATGAATATACTTTAATCAGCTCTGTGATTACTTCTCTCAGCAATGTATTGGCATTATTTCTTATTAACCTCAGGCTTTTTGATGGACAGGAAGGCAAGGATATGGAAACCTGAAAATAGTTTTCAGAAAACTAGAGCTGGCCAGGCATCGTGGCTCACGCCTGTAATTCCAGCACTTCGGGAGGCTGAGGCGGGTGGATCACTTGAGGTCAGGAGTTCGAGACCAGTCTGGCCAACATGGTGAAACCCCATCTCTACAAAAAATACAAAAATTAGCCAGGTGTGGCGGTGGGCACTCGTAATCCCAGCTACTCGGGAGGCTGAAGCAAGAAAATTGCTTGAACCTGGGAAGTGGAGGTTGTAGTGAGCCGAGATCGCTCCACTGCACTCCAGCCCGGGTGACAAAGTGAGACAAAAAAAAAAAAAAAAAAAAGAAAAAGAAAAAACTAGAACAAGTATGTATAGGAGCCATACAAGCTTCGTAACTCAAAATAAGCTATAATTAAATGAAAGACTTTCAGCTTCAGAAAGAATTCTGAATTTTAAAAGAAACGTGATATTTTGAAATAGAATTTCGGTGTGGAAACTTTTTAAAAAATGTAATACTAGTATTTTCAGAAACAGCTGAATCAGAAGATGCAGTTGAACATTTAGAAAATGGAAGTATATCTGATTTGAGAGCACGTCCGGGTAGATCTCTCTCACCGAAAGCACTTACTGCAGCAAGCTTGGACTGTGGAGTGGAAGTTTCTGCATTCTTTCCCTGTACCACAGTCTTCTACGTGGCTGATCTTTGAAAGTTATTCATCTCTAAGACTCTGTTTCCCTTTCATGAAATAAAGGTAGTCATAGTGCCAATCCTTAGGAGATGTGAAATTTAAATAAGACAATACATATAAAACATTTAGTATGTTCTGCAATAAAAAGTCAATACAATTTGTTAATATTATTAGTGGCATATTATCATGAGTATTTATTTTTAATTATTCCCTCTGCCCCCACAAAAATTTCATGGAGAGAAAGAAATATAGGAGCAACAGCTAGCAAGGCTTTGAGAAATGATGATCTGTGATTGCAATCATTTTGGTGTATTAGGTTTATAAAATTATTTTAAGTTAAATGTTCTGTTTGAAATTTACCTGCATGATTTTTAAGAACAGTGATGTTTTATCAAATTGCAGGCATTCTTTTTTCTTTTCTTTTTTTTTTTTTTATTAAATGGCACTTTAAATGCTACAGTCATCTGATGGTATCCACAGGTGATTGGTTTCAGAACCCTCTCAGATACCAAATCCAGGATGATAAGTCCCTTATATCAAAAGGTGTAGTATTTGCATACAATGTACGTACACATCCTGCCTTGTACTTTAGACCATCTCTAGATTACTTATACTACCTAATGCAAAGCAAATGCTATGTAAACAGTCCTTACACTGTATTGCCTTCTATTTTTATTATTTTTAATTTTTTTCTATTATTTTTGATTCAAGGTTGGTTGAATTCATAAACTAACTGGTGAAAACGGAGGGCTGACTATATAATATAAGGTTCTCTCTCTCTCTCTCTCTTTTTTTTTTTTTAGTTTTGTATAATTTCAGACTTACAGAAAAGTTTTAAGGATAGCACAAAAAATTCCCTAACACTTTCCACTCAGAATCCCCAAATGTTAACACATTACTACATTTGCTTTCTCTATTCCCCGTTCTCTCTGCACATATGTACACATTTTCTTTTTCTGAAATGTGTAAGAGGAAGTTGTATATATGACACCTCTTCTTCCCTAAATAATTCACTGTATACTATCTGAAAATTGGGCATTTTCTTACAACATCAAAGTATAATAATCCAACTTAGGAAATTGACACTGAGGTCATATTCCTCCTTCATATACAGACCTGATAGATTTTACCAACTGTCCCTACAATGTTACTTATAGACAAAGTAAATCCAAGCTGACAGGTTTTATTCAGTTCCCACATCTCTTTAGCCTCACTTAATTTAGAACAGTTGCTGATTCTTTTTATATTTCAATGTACAGTAAGTCCTCACTTAACATCATCCATTGGTTCTTGGAAAATGCAACTTTAAGCAAAATAATGTACAGAATGTCCTCAAATAAAATTCCTTCCTGCAACATCATGTTCTCCTAATGTTGATGAGAAAAAAATGATTTTAAGTCATTTTGCTTCAAGTCTTAGTTTCCAGGAATCTATCCATTTCATTAGGTGAGTACTTAATGTATTGATGTTTCAAAAGAGTATTAGACACATTCTGTATATTATCCCTCAGTTTGGGGTTTGTCTGATCTTTTCTCATGACCGGATTTGGGTTTTATATTTTTGATAGTAATACCACAGAAATGACACAAAGTTTTTCTCAGTGACCATGTTAGGAAGCACACACTGTCAATGAGTTTCATTACTGAAGGGGCAACTTTGATCATTATGTTAAATGATGTGGACTCGGTTTCTCCATTGCCACGTCACTACTTTACTCTTTGTGTTTAAGAGAATTCTGTTCTGAGATACTTTGTACTATGCAAACCTTGCTGTTCCTTAAACTTTCACACACTCATTTTGACATTCGTTGATGATTTTTGCCTAAATCAGTTATTATTTTATTATACTATTATATTATAATATTATTGTAGCTAATTGTATTAATCACCAACAGACAGCAATCTGTCATTTATTGGCATAGCCTGGAAAGGTCATCATTTTGCAATTAAACAACAGTGGATTAAGTACAAGTTTTCACGCCGGTCAAAGCCATGTGCTGCTTCATTGACAAGAAAGCTCAGGATATTCCTTGGGAGTCCATCTCACTTGGGTTTCAACTGTGACATTATCATTTTCTAGTCATTTTATCTTATGCCAAATAATCAACTCTCAAACTTTTTTCTCTGCTTAAAAGGAATTTTAAAAATCATCATACAGTTTTTTTTTTTTAAGGTTTATATGAGATAATTCAGGTAAGGCACCTGTAGGGCATTATTTACATATAAATACAATATGTACTACTTTTTTATCCTAGATTTTGATTCATGCTGATACAGACATTTCACTGTCTATGTATATGTATGCATAAGCATATCAACCACAAGCACATGCTCGATCATTGTGTATGTCGTGATAAATTTGTTACTTTCACATCTTATTTCAACTCTAATAGCAGGATGGCATTATAAAGAATGAAACTAAAAATGTGTTTCAGTCCAGTTGTTCTCTTGCATTCCCCATTTCTCAGTACACATTTCTCTACCTATAAGGCTTCTATGTTTGTCTCCTTCAAATCTCATGTTGAAATGCCATCCCCATTGTGGAACCTGGTGGGAGGTATTTGGGTCATAGGGTCAGATCTCTCCTGAATGGCTCGGTGCTGTCCTGGAGGTAATGAGTGAGTTCTCTCTCTCTCTCTGAGTTCACCAGAGATTTTGTTGTTCAAAGGATCCTGGCACCTCCTCCCTCTCCTGCTGCCACTCTCATCATGTGATATGCCATCTCCCCCTACACCTTTTGCCATGATTAAAAGCTTCCTGAGACTCCCCAGAAGCAGATGCCAACATCATGCTTCCTGTACAGTCTGCAGAATCATGAGCCAAAATAAACCTCTGTTCTTTATAAATTACCTAGCCTGAGGTATCTCTTTACAGCCACACAAAAATGGACTAATACATCTACTTAATTGAAGTCATAGGTTTTGAATGGAATCCAAAAGGCGACTACTGAAGTAGTTATATCAGTGTTTAGAACTCTTGCTGTTCTTGTCTTTTCTCTTGTTGGTGAAGTTGTTTCAATAATATATTTCCAGAATGAATTATAGTTATAAAGCATTTACCCTCTGGGCTTTATGTTAATTTTGCAGTCAGAAAGATAAATGAGTGTTTATTAAACAAGAACTGTGCACATGACACCAATGTTGCAATTTGAATGTTACTCTTTAAGATAGGCTGAACTCCTTCCTAATATGGATAATCACAAAAACATTTAAATGTACATGGCAACAAAATTTATATAGCAATTAGGTTTTTAAAAATGTATGTGGTAACAATGTGAAAACTTGGAAAAATTACCATTTTTACAGTAGCAGCCCAATTAAGCCATTTGGATTCAATGAGGGAAACTAGAATAGCACAACGCACATTTTTGCAGCTCAATATTTATTTCTAAAATGAATTAACAAATGGGATGAACAAATGGATTGCATTGTGGTGAATCATGTTTAATTATAATTAAGCAATAATTTTTCATGAACCATAACCATTAAACTATTTCATGAGAAGAGTTGTTGCAAATAGCATGTGCTGTGCTGACATTAGCCAACTCACTAGGTACAGCAATGTCAATTTCTTTTTAACTTTTAATCTTGATGTTTTTATATTAGTCTACCTAATCTCTTAAGACAAGGAGGTCTTTTAATTCTACATTTACAGTAACTAAAGTAGAAAGTATAATTTCTCAGTTGTTAAAAAAGACTATTATCAAAACACACTAATAAGTAGAAATTTTACACAAACATACTAGTTTTAGGTATTTCAACTATGATGATTGTTTATGTTTTTATATTAAGTTTCAATATCTTTTAAAGTGAGCTTCTAGTATGATGACAATGCTAGTAGTTTGGGTAAAGCATAGCCATGTTTCTACTTTATTTACATACCAATATTTAAAATGAATTTAAAAGTTGATGTTATTACTTCTAGAAAACATATATTACAGTCAAAGTAGGCCTTGTTTTGAGAGTAAGAATGACATGTCTGATGAATTTCTTAATTTTCTCAGTGTGAGCTAAAAATATCTCATTTGTTAGAAAACAAATTTTCAATGTCTAAATTTTGCCTTTACTCTAAGGAAACATTCTTCTCTGTCTGGTCTTTTTGGCTTTCCTGTAATAGCCTGGTGGTTCTGGCCATGAAATAAAACCGTGTGACTTCTGTTAGGATTCATCCACTAAATCATGAGACTGTGGAAAAAGTCCCAGCTCTTGCTCCCATTTCCAGTGGCAAATCCTGCCTCTAATTGCTCTGACCTTTTCTTGACTGTCAACTATTTAAATCATACACTAAACTTTGTATAAATTTATGTAAGTTTAATGTAGTCACTGCATTGTGTGATATCTTTATAATAAGTTTTAAAATTCTGTGTGGTGTAGAGAAAGTCATTATCATGTTTTGACGTGAAACTAATGAAATAATTTAGATTTTTAAAGCATAGTTGATTCACGGAGAAAATCAGGCTTTCCACAGCCAATAAAATGCCACAACACATAAACTTATGTGAAGTTCGGACATAATGTTTCATAATGTTTTAGTACATATCGTATCCAATCCCATGCCTCTCATCCTATTTGTTAAGAATTGATGCTGTGTGTAGATGCTTTTCAATAGTCTTTATTTCATTATCTCTGTAGGAAATATGAATCACCAATGAGAATTTTTCTTGTCAGAGAATCTAAGAAGTTGGTCATACATATCCTCAACCTCCAGCCTGCAAAATGGACCAGTCATGTGACAGGAAGTCTGTAAGACAGAATATTTATCAATCTTCTTTCAAACAGATGCAAAATCTAATTAAAACAGAAAGAGGATTACCTATTTTTTATGTTTACTTGTGAAAAAATTGTTAGAATGCTATGAACTAAAAAGCATGATAGTTCTGATGAATTATTACCCTGATCATTGTATTTTCTTGGAAATGAAACATGTGTCCTTGTGTAGTTTCCAATAAATATCAAAAGACAACTTTTTGTATCACCTGGATATTTCTTTTTCATAGTAGAATCCTCTACCAGCTGCTTCAAATGGAGCCATCCTTTTCTTCCGTGTCCTTGTTGTTCTAAACGGCCTTTTTCCCTCTGGCCTCTATTCAAAGTTCCTCTATACCACTAGCATTTCCCAAACCAAACAGTGTTTCTAAAGCATCTTCATTTCAATAAGTGTCTCCATCCACCCACTGACACATTGTTCGAGATTGTATAACCTCAACCTTGGAAGTCAAATGCAAGCCTCATCACTCCTCTTAGTTTTGTTGATGAGACTTAAAACAGTATACGGAGGGAAAAAAAAATATGTTAGACTTACAGAACTTATTTTTCACAAGCTATAGTACACACATTTGCTGCAGATAGGAAAGCAAAATCCACGCAGACTAGTTCTTGAGTTTCACTCAACATGGAGTTCACATACATGCAAGTAAAAACACGAGGATTACTAAAAATTATCAATTTACACATGCCAGAAAACTGGGAAACACTGTTTAACAAAGGAAGCACAATTATACTCCTTATATCCGGGTCAAAACTATTTACTTCAGATGAGTTTTCAAATGTATACTGCTTCTTGGACTTGAATAAAATAAGCATGCTGCCTTGGATGCAGTGTTCGTAGTATTCTAATATCAGGGAATGAGGACAAATGAAGAAGTTGAGGAAACCATGAACATTTCCACCCATAAATAAAATCACTGATTTGACTGTAAATAAATCGTAAACAAATCTTTTATTTACATTTTCTTTTTTCACAGTATTTTGATTTTTCGTGGTCAGGTTGGCCTCCATGCTCTCCCACTAATTAAGGCTGATTTGAAGGAATGAACCATTCCCAGTTAACCTGTGGCCCCTTAGTAATTAGCTCAGTACCTAGCAGCCGAGACAGATTCAATAAGTACATGCTGATTCCATGAACAAAACGGAATCTTAATTCTTTTAAAATGACTTTTTCTAAAACAATGGTGAGGGTCTCCCTATTACAAGAAAATTTGTATCTTTTTTATTGTAAAGCATATCCTATAACATGTACACGTGATGTGTGAACTCTGTTCATTTATTTATAAGCATCAGAGTTTTGAAAAGCCGGCTTTCAGAGTTTCAAAACATCTTCAGACAGACTTCCTTTGGCACACAACCTTGGTGTCTGCCTTTGGATGCAGTCCTTCAATTTCTCTGCACACCCTCGAAACAGCAGAGCCCTCAGCTCATTGCTGCTTCAATCAGCCGTCTGTGTCGCAGAAGCTGAGCCGGCACACACGGTGGATGCTGGCAGAAAAAACATGAAATTGCTAAAAGAGCCATGACAGATGGGAGAAATACCCCTAAACCCAAATCATGAAGGTTATCAGAGCATGACACACCAACAGGAACCAAGCACCAAGAATGCAGTAGCTGTAAAATCTCAGTCCGCGCATAGCATGCCAGGTAGACATATATTTCAGTACATAAGTACAACTGTTAAATTAATACCAAGCAAAGATGAGACACAGTTCGCAGAATTATATTGAAATTATTAAATATATGTTTAAGAAATGGATGAATGAATTCAAAGAGGCATGAGATAGGAGGAAAAAATGGAGTCCTGTCATATAAGTTTTTAATATATACCCAGCATGTAGAATGTAATACTATCTATGCAAAGTGTTATTATATGAACTCTTTTAATCTCTTTTGTAACTACAAAGTCTGTAACCTTACATGAAATTGATATAGACAGTATTAGAATAATACATATCCTGCTGGTAGGGAGAGACACTTGGAGTGCACAACCACCCCTAACGCATCACTCAAAATCTTACTGTTATCCTAAAGGCAGAGTGGCTTCAATGTCTAATTATCCACATGGAAAATTACCTTATTCCCTCTCCAGTTCAAACTTTGATGCTCCAAAAGAATTCTCCACGGAGTGCAATACTCTAAATGTGGTGTATTGACGATGTTGTAGGGGCTATTTATGGTTTTGTAAAGAGTTATTTTTACTCTCAACCATCTTTTACTCATGTGCTGACCTTAAAATGTCACCTTCTTTAGAAGATAGAAAATAATTGTTTTTTAAAATGGCCCAATCATGCCTTCAACAGTGAAAGTCGTAAGAATCAAAGTCAACTATTTTTAATTGCTTAACTGACTTTTTATTTATTTCATTTAATTAATTTCATTAGAAATGTGTCCAATTATGATTTGTATATGGTCGCAAAATGGGTAATTGATGATACTCTTATAATTTAATTTTGACAAACACACATTGGAATTGGTAAGCTTATCTCCTCTGGAATTGTAGAATTATATCTCCTAATATAATTTTGATATAGTGTTTATATAGAGCATATAAAACATTCTACATAAGTTGCATAGTTTTTAGTTGTTTCATGTGTAAATAAGAGTAAAAATACCTATATCATAGAAAGTTGTGATACTCAAATAAGAAAAAAAAATTACAACTGGATGCATATGTTCGAAAAGTTTGATATCCCGCTCCGTTGCTTTTTTTAGTTGAGGGTTGTGTATTGAGAGTCTGTGCAGACTAACTCATTCTAGAATAGCATAATGTGAAAAGACAACAAAAAAGTAGCTTTTCTAATAACAACTAGCATCAATAGAATGCTTAATTTTTCAACCAGTCCCTGTTCCAAATGTTTTACATTAAATGGCCTTTTTAACCCTCAAAGCATCTCCATGAAATAGGTGTTGATCCTGTCCTTATTTCACAGAGCAGGCAAAGGAGGTACTAAGAAGAGAAAAGGTGAGCCCACAGTTACAGAGCTGGTGAGCCGCAGAAGGTGGATTTCCACCTAGGTTCATGGAGGCAGAGCTCACGCTCCTCACTGCGATGCTCTGTTGCCTTCACGTTCAAGATAAGGAAAATAATCTCTGTTTCAAAATGTTGAAAAGAGTTATGAGTCTAAGAATCAACGTTCCCTTCCCCACAGTCCACCATTCCATCATGATCCCTTTTGTAGTAATCCGTGTAGCATGACGCACAGTTACAATCATGCCATAGATTCAGCAAGATCAAAGCATTGCAGGAATTCTGAAGCCCCGCAGAAATGTAATCCCTCCCGAGAGAGATGGCCGTAGCTGGCCCAGACATTCAAGCCATCCTGCTGTGAAAAAATGAAAAATGATTACTTTGGACATGGGGGGGAAATACCTTTAGCTCAGTCTAGGTTTCCCGAGTATAGACAGTGTATAGATTAAACCTCCAAGTCTATCCCACGCTCTGTACAAGGGAAACACTTGCTTATACCTTCAGCTTTTCCACTTAGACAAGATGAAGAGCTAAGTGAATACAGCTGGAAGTTAAGCCATTTGTTCCAGATGGTGCAGATATCTCAAACTCGGTGTTCCTAAGGCAATGGCAACACACGGAATGTTATTCTGGTAGAAGCAATAATGTGTGTGAGAGTGTGATGTTTACTCGTCTGGTATATGAACAAATAGCATGTCAATTTAAGTAAATATCTGTGTTCACAAAGCAGAATACAGAAATGGGGTAATTACTTGCATAGTCAAGCTTAAAAAATATGCCTTTGACTCAAAAATCTGATGATTTTGAGCTCATTTTTTGCTTTAATAACCTGTTTAATTGCTTTACTTATTGATTTCACTTCAACATAGAAAAAGCCTTAAGAAATGATTTGCTTGCAGGCACACCTTGGAGATATTGCAGGTTCGTTTCTAGGTCATTGTAATAAAGAAATATTGCAAAGAAGTTAGTAACACAATTTTTTTGATTTTTGAGTACATATAAAAGTTATTTTTTTAAACTATACTGTGGCCTAAGTTTGCAATAGCATTATGGCAACATAAAATAAAGAAAGTGCAGGCCTTAACTTAAAAATACTTTATTGCTAAAAAATGTTAACAAATATCTGAACCTTTTTGCTGACGACAGGGCTTGCCTCAATGCCGATGGCTGCTGAAGGTTGGAGAAGCTGTGACAATTTCTTCAAGTAAGACAACAATGAAGTTTGCTGGCTCAATGGACGCTTCCTGTCGTGAGAGATTTCTCTGTAGCACGAGATGGTGCTTGACAGCATTTTACCCATGGTAGAGCCTCTTTCAAAATTGGAGTGAAGCCTCTCAAGTCCCGGGACTGCTTTATCAACTAAGTTTACAGAATATTCAAAATCCTTTGCTGTCATTTCAACAATGTGCACAGCATCTTCACCAGGAGAATGTTTCACCTCAAGAAGTCAGTTTCTTTGCTCATCCATGAGAAGCCACTCCTCATGCATTCAAATTTTCTCACGAGAGAGTAGCAATCCAGTTACATCCTCAGGCTCCACTTCTGATTCCAATCCGCTTGCTGTTTCCACCACATCTGCATTTACTTCCTCCACTGAAGTATTGAACCCTTCAAAGTCACCCACGAGGGTTGCAATCAACTTCTTTCAAATGACTGTTAGTGTTGATATTTTGATCTTCCCCCATGAATCCGAATTTTCTCAATTTCTCATCTAGAATGGTGAATCCTTTCCAGAAGGTTTTCAATTTACTTTGCTTGGCCCCATCAGAGGAATCACTGCCTATAGAAGCTATTGCCTCATAAAAATATATTTCTTAAATAATTAGACTTAAAAGTTGAAATTACTTCTAGATCCTTGATCAATGAGCTAAAGAACGGATATTGCATTAGCAGACATGAAGACAGTGTTAAGCTCTTCAGTGACCAAGTGAGTTTTCAATGAGCAGTAATACTTTTGAAATAATCTTTTTCTTTTATCTTTTCTTGAGTAGTAGGCTTCAACAACAGATTTAAAACATTCCATAAGCCATGCGGTACAAAGTGGCACTGTCATCCAGGGGTTGCTGCTCTATTTACTGCACACAGGCAGACTAGATTTAGCGTAACTCTTGAGGGCCTTAGGATTTTTGGAACACTCAATGGACATTGGAGTCAACTGAAAGTCACCAGCTGCATTAGCCCTAACAGAAGATTTTGATTCTAGATTTTGGTTTAAAGTGAGAGAC